ACTATATAAGGGGACCAACTTGGAATCAGAAGCTCACGCTGTATAAATTTAACAGGTGAATCCTGCTCTGTTTGATTATCAAGAAAGTCTACATAGGTAGAAGAGTTTCAGTCTGATGCAACATGTTATGGTAGATAATCATAGAATCACCAAGACTGGAGAAGACCCCCAAGGTCATCCAGTTCAACCATCTACCTCCCACCAATATTTCCCCACTAAACCACATCCCTCAGCTCAACATCCAAACATTTCTTGAACGCCTCCAGGGATGGTGACTCCACCATCTCGCTGGGAAGCTCATTCCAGCACCTGACCACTTTTTTGGAGAAGAAATTTTTGCTAACATCCAATCCAAAACTTCCCTGAAGCAACTTGAGGCCATTCCCATTTTTTCTGTTGGTAGTTACGCAGGAGAAGAGGCCAACTTCCAGCTCACCACAACCTCCTTTCAGGTCATTTTAGTGGGCAGTAAGGTCTCCCCTGAGCCTCCTCATCTCCAGACTGAACAATCCCAGCTCCCTCAGCTGCTCCCCATAAGACTTGTGCTCCAGACCGCTCACCAGCTTCGTTGCCCTTCTCTGGACACTCTCCAGAGCCTCAATGTCTTTCTTGTAGTGAGGGGCCAAAACTGAGCACACAGTACTCAAGGTGTGATTTCACCGGGGCTGAATACAGGGGGGTGGTTAATTTCCTTGCTCCTGCTACCTGCACTGTTTCTGTTACAAGCCAGGATGCCACTGGCCTTCTTGGCCACCTGGGCACACTGCTGGCTCATGTTCAGCCAAGCATCAACCAACACCCTCAGGTCTGTTTCCTTCACACGTAATCCATTCACACCTGGAAAATTCTCCTTTGCAAATCTAAAGGAAATTAATGATAGTTCTTCTTAACATTGCAAAATTATTGGTTCAGTTGTTTCTAGTTACTCAGAACTGAAACATTAGCAAAGCAATTTTTTACCTATTGAATTCAAATATAATTGACGGACCAGGAAGCTCCTCCTCTGTGCTTCATTCATAGCTAATGATTTTTGCTTCCTAAAATCATCATGAAGATTATAATGACCTTTGAAAGGAGGAATTCATGCAAAGCAGCCCCCAGTGCTCTTTAGGCTTAAGGGCAACCTCAGAAGAAGGCAGAGTTAAGAGTCTGCTGGGGCTTTAGTTTTGGTTGCCAGATAAATAGAAGGGGCAGGACTTGTGGCCACCCCTTGGTTTAAACAGCAATATGACAAGTTATGTGAGGGGGAGATGCAAGATGGAAGAGTTCACCTGGGATGTCTTGGTCCTGGGGCAAAGAATGGCAGGACAGAAGGGTCAAATATCCTGACTACATAAATGCCTCTATGGCTACTTAATAGAACAGCAGAGGCACTTGGCACAAAGGCAGCAGCATGCTTCAACTTCTCAGCTGGAGGAATGGCCCACAAGCACTGTCATCGTGGAGCACAGCAGATTATTAGAGGAATAAAGACAAAACTGTGCTTGATTTCCAGAATGGAGGGGCTGGAAATCCTCGTGACCCTGTCAGGGCTTTTCTGTTCTTAATGGGTCTGCCACAGAGAAGACTGTGTTTGAACAGTGGAGGGGTGCTGCTCCTGGGGAAGAGTTCAAAAGCACTAGCTCAGGAGCATTAATAAAAGTATTTCCCACTGTTTATTCATCAGAACTTGAAAGTAATAGCTACTGCAGAGCTCAGTGGCAAAATCTGTACATTTATGTCATAAAATACAGACATCTCACTTCTACAAGCTGGTAACAGTATTTGTTGGGAAACGGATGAATTTGTTAAGACAACTAGTTTCTGGTATAAGCAGTCCCCAAAAGGGGGCTTAATGCTTATTTCTAATCTCCTGGAAGATTGTACAAATGAACAAAATGAGGTTAATCACCAAGGAAAATCACCAATGAAGCAATACATCTTTTGTTAAGTATTAATTATAATTTATTTGCTCCCATCACAGAATTTACAGGGTTCTCATGAATCGAGGATTAATTCAGAGGTTTTTTATTTACTGTACTTTTTTTTAATTTATTTTATGTACTCTGAATGGATCCCCTCTTAATTGAAAGTGAATGAATTCATTCTGTATCAGCTTTCTGCTTGAAAATAAAATCCTTCGTAAAAGATCTGGCAATCTTTGTCAGAGAAATCGAGGCAGAGTGAAACATTTGATTGTACAAGCTGTTAGAGCCTAATGAGTTCTGCATTTAGACACTTGCATGCTGGTTTTTTTTTTCACTTGATCCTGCAGTAGCATAGCAGTTTACGCATTTAAATGTGCAAGACTTGTTCGGGAGGAAGATTTGTAATAAGAGAAAGCAGCATGTTCCGTCGTTTTAGTATAGCATCTGTTATTATCATTCAGTGCTGCTCTTAGCCCAGCATGCCCTTCCTCTAAACATCTTATTAATTAAACTGGCTTAGTAGGAAAATAATTAATACTTTCTGTTCTATGCCTACTTAGAAAGGATTTGGAAACTGAAAAAAAGATTGCTTTCATCTAAGCTTCAAACTGGCGTGGTTTGATTTGGGTTATGGGGGGTTTGATTTTCCTTTTGCCATTCTGGATTAGAAACAGATTACAACTAAAAGGAGATGTGTGAAAGAACCTATGTATTTAGTCTTCTGAAAATTTAGATAGACTGCTAGGTGAACTGCAAAATAATCTGTGTTTGTGAGAATTCTTGCCCTATATTTGAGTATGTTGCTCTGTGACAGTTTTGGGAAAGTTGGTCCTCTGCTTCTGCATAGTATTCACTTTAGGACTCAGACCCCAGAAGTATTACTGGGTTTCTTTCTGCTGCTTTTATAATGTGATGGGATTGCCTGGTTACGAAGTCAGCAGTAATTGTGCTGCATAACTAGCTGAGTGTTCACAAGGCAAAAGGGTGGGATGAGGAACGCCAGTGGGTGCCAGTGCCTGTGCAAAATGACAGACATGTTTGTGTCCTCAGTGGTTGGCTTTGATGGCTTGATCTACACACCCCAGGGGGTCTGTACCTTTTGTTGGCCATTCTCACCTGGCTTATTTGTGTATGGTATATGAAAACCAAGCATCTTGTATGGAAATCTATCTGCTTGTATACAACATATGGTTGTACTCCTGCAGCCATGTGCTCGGATTTGTATGTAAAGCGTGAGTCTGTTACTTTGCTATTTCTGGTGAAGTTCAGAAATAGCAGAATTTGCCTCTCTCTTTGTTTTGTGAAGAATGCTGCTGGCCTACAAACAGAAACTGCTGCTTTGCTGCTGGTTTGCCCTGCTTAATTGCCCTCCAACCAACACAAGCTGAGTGCTCTACTCTGTTTGCATTTGGGGAAAATTACTGTTTCTCAGACTTACTGGAAAAGGAGTTCAGTAAGGCCAAATTAGTCTTTAAAGACAGGATTTTAATGATCTCTACGGTGGGACAAAGCTCAAAGATTAGCTGTAGCTTGTTTTGACTTTTTTTTTTTTGGAGGGACTGATGGTGGCTGTTCTTCGAGAAGAAGCTTTAAATGCCATACCAGAACAAGGCTGTTTGGATGCAAGGAAAAGACAGATGGACGGCCAGTCTACAAGGCAACTCCGCAGGCTGATTGCTGGGGTGTCTATCTGTCAAAAGCATATTAGAAATCTAAGTTCTGCTGAAAGGCAGTGAGGTGCCTAAAGCACTTCTTAAACTGGGCTGTTACAGTAAGAGCTTCAGAAATAAAACTGTGCCACACAGTGGGCCAATGGGGCTTGTACTGCCATAATTCTGATTGATGTTGATGCTCAGAGGGTGTGTTCAGAAGAAAGCAGGGGTTTTATTAGCTACAGATTGTGTCTGCTGGCTTTCTCAGTCCTAAAGAATACATGTTCAAAGCCGATCTTAAAAATGGGGAGATCTAAATTGATATTATGGAATTGAATGCTTTATAAATCAGCACTGCCTTGTTCATGCTAAGCCACTCGTATCTGACAGCAAATAAATTGCAATGAATGCAGTGTGTCAGTGTAAGCACAGCTAATTCACCAAGTATATTGTGTCCCTCTGGGAACAGAGAGCAGCCAGCAGCGCCGGAAAAGGTAACATCCTCGTGTTTTCAGGGGCAGAGTGTTTTGGAGCCCCTTTTGCTTTAAATCTGCCTTGGGCAGACTGAAGAAGCAAAGTCTCAGTTCATCTGTGTGTGCATCTGCGCTGTGTCTGATAGGGGAGCATATGGCAGAAGCGGTTCGCCCTTAACTGTGCCTCTTTTTTGGCAAGCATGAGCCTGTTTCTCGGAGAGCGCACACAGTCACAGCCCCTCCTGCACATCACTTCTCATGCCCCTTGCTTGCTGCCTTTCAGCAGTTCGCCTGAATCCATGTCCTTTGTGATGTTTTGGTTAATTGGACATTGTTTTAATTACTGCTGAACTAAACAAACATGAAATTTCTATCTGTCATCTTGCTGCCCCGGTGACCACAGTCTCCAAGCAGCAAATACAGGACCCAGGCTGTTGAGCCCTGGTGTTAAATTACTGTCATGGAGTGTCATTTGTTTGTACTTATTTTGGGGAAAACACCCCTCCAGGGAGAAGACTCCATTAAACAGCTCATTTTTGGCACTATCCCAAATGCCTTGTTCTACTCTCATTGGAGCTAGTAGCAAATTACTCTTGTCTTCAGGGCACCAGCGGTGCCAGTACTCTTCCATGGCCAGAAGACAATCCACAGCCAATCCACAATCCAGTCTTTCTCCATGATCTTTCACATTACCTTCTTTTTTACCTTTCCCTCACAGACATTTGCATTATTTTTTTGTTCTCTCTTTATTAGCAAGAAACACTTGGGTCATGTATCCAAATGGGAATTGAGACATGCCCTCAAATGAGCCAGTCTGTAGATGTTTCTCTCAATGTGAGCCTTACTTCAAAACCAAGGAGTTTCTTTGGGCTTTTGACTCACTTGCCACTGACTGTAAATGGAGAAGAAGCGTTTTGAAACATTTCCTTTCTTTTCTGTTAATAATCCCCCTTCTCCTTTGCTTTCAGCTTTGGAAAGAAAGATATCAATGAGGCAAAGCAGAGAGGAGCTTATAAAACGAGGAGTGCTAAAGGAAATCTTTGATAAAGGTAAGCGTTCTTCTTTTCACAATGTTAAATTGACATCCCATATAGTTTTATGGACAGATCTCACTTTGTCATAACATTAAGAACTGGCAATACCATCTGGAATGGCAGAACCGTACAGAATAAGGTCTCCAAACATCTCTTGGTGGATCTTGCAAATAAACTTGTAAGCTAATCAGAAAGTAAAGCAGTAAAAATATAAATCACAACACTGTACTGTAGTCACCTGCTGCAAAACAGCAAGGCATCCCGACTGAGGGGAGATGGAATGGGTCTCTGCATGCATTTATTATCTCTGGTTGAGTCACTGTAGGATTAATGGTTGTGGAGAAGAGAAATGTTTTTAAGGTGTGGGATTGTGTGATGAGCATAGAACACTTGAAACAACCCAGAATGCATAATAATAATATTTCCCCAATCAGAATTATTCCTTTGTTGAGTTGGTGATGTATTACTTATGCAAAACACCATTATTTTACATAGGTAGCATAACGAATAATTGATATCACATATTTGTGAGTACTTAACTCCAGCTTTTGTTTGTTTGCTGCTTCTCTTGTTAGTAACTAAGGCAATTAATTAAGCAAACTGTATTGGCATGCCAAGGTTGCATTTTAATTTCAGTAGAACTTAGGTATGTACTTTGATGCCTCATTAATTCCAAGTCTAGAAGTGTTTAACAATACCACAACAAAACCTGGTAAAAGTCAATCAAAGTTATAAACTTCCAGAGTTTTTCTAAGTAGGATCTATTTTAGAAAATCTGGACCATTTAAATCTACTTTGATCTAGCTTGTTGGGAAAGAAGAGATGATGTAAAAATTTACTAATCCGAACAAAATCAATGTGCAACTTGTGATTACTTTCTGTGGTTTTCATCTGTTACCTATTCTAGATGCTTTTTAATCCTTTGAGAATGCCTGAGCTCTTACTATGGCTAGCTGTCTTGAAAGTCATCCTAGATGCAAGTGCAGAGTAGAAACCACAACTGGCCAAAGATTTTCCCTTTTTGATGCCTTGGTTTTTGCACTTTCTGGACAGTGACTTGGATTGAATGTGCAGCCAGGTGTCTCCATTGCCAGCAAGGCTCCCGGTTCAGCACCCTGGGGAGCTTGGAAGTCAGCTTCTGGTCATCCCTACACTCACCTTCATAAAATCTCTCCTGTGCAACTTGATCCTGTTCTCTGCCTTGAAACTCAGGGAAATTCTCCCTTCTCTCCTGCAAAGGGCTGCAGTAGTCTGTAATCTTCTTTGTCACCTGGTGAAGTAGGCATTATGTTGTCTGGAGGTCCTCATCATGCAAACAAACAAAAAATCTCCTCTTTGTAGTCATTTTTCACCTATTCATATCAGAAAGAACTAGGATGAAATACATGCTCCCTTTTCCTATTTCCAGTACAAGATGTAGAGACATCAGACTTTTACTGTCAGGTGCAACTAAACAGGAAACTGTCACTCAACACAGTTAGATGTCTAATTCAGTATCTTCACCTCACTTCCTGCTGTTTGCAAACACAGAAAGCTGTGAAGTTTTCAAGGAGTCCTTCCTTGAAAGAAGCAGAGCAGAGGGGAAGATAGTTGTGTATAGGTATAGCAGTGGTGATCACATATGATTTAAGAATGTAAGTAAGGCAAAATGTGTAGAGGAAAAGTAACATTTTCTTCGTTGATGGGATGGGATGAAGCAGGACAAGCATAGTTCTCATAAAAGGTATTATATCTCGCTGTAAACCTTAAGCAGAAATAACGTTTTCCTTGTACTTCCTGATAGCTAATCTCCAATACTTTGTGGAAGCGCATCACTTCATAGCAGAAAGCTTTATTTGATGGTTGTTTCTATGCTTTCTACGCCAAGACTCATCTTGCACAGACAACAGGTGGAACCACAGTGCTAAATCTCTGCCTTTCCAAAGAGGAGACCAAAGCTGAGGAGTGATTATTTTGCCTTTTTCTTTCTTAAACAGATTAAAGGAAACCATACAGATAGACTGACATAAGAACTGAAATTCTGAAACTGCAGTGTACTTAGTGTTATTTTATCATCTATGCTGAAGAAAACCAGAATTAGACAGCCAGTTTGTTCTCCTGTTGTTTAGTGACTCTCTGACTGGTTTGCTTTGGGATTTGCTGGCTTTTCAAGTGACTGTGTCATCCAGCAGGTGAGAGCTAACAGGGCACAGTAGATCACAGTGTTCACACATAGAAGAGTCACTGCATTCCAGCTGCTATTTTTGGGAAACAATAAATGATTTTATTATTTCGGTGACCCTCGTACTTAAACTGTTGAAGTGAAACCACTCTAGCTTGAAGTGTAGGGAGCTCATTTCTTGGCAAGGTCCAGACTCATGCCCAAATAACTTTTCATTCTTTTATAGGTTCTGTAACTTGAATCTTCTGAAAATATAGGCAAAGTCTGTATTTATTTCAAATACAGAGTACTTTTAGGAAAAACAGCACACTGAAGAAGTATCTGATTAGATGCCTCTGTTCTAATAGTTTGTAGACTGGCAGAGCCAAGAGCTCAAACAGTGAGCTCTTTTCATCAAAAGATGAATAGCTTTGATTTTAACATCAAACTGTAACCATTTCAAAAGCGACTGTCTATAGAGTTGCCCAGTGTGCTATGATACCAGTCAAAGAATTAAACGGACTGGTAGTGTTTTCATACCTCTTCTTTAATCTGAATATAAGCAAATTTTCCTGTAGTGGGAAATTTCTGAATGTGTATACTGATCGTTTGCTTCACAGATAATAATGCAATGATTCCTCATAGGTGACCTTCATCTTCGTATTTTTGTACTGTCCATCTGAACAAAATGAGGTTTCAAAACCCATATTTCAAATTACCTATGTCCTGTCAGGATTTGAAAGTGTTCTGTGAATGATAAACGACAAACAACAGAACTCAGTGTTGCATCACCTCAGCATGGATGTGCCTCACCTTCCTACCCTTCACCATCAAGAATAATTTCCTAGCTGTTCTTACTTGAAAGCAGGCCAATACTGAGAAGACAACTAAAAATGGAAAGTAACATGGGATGTAGAATTCTCCCTGTCATTTTCACTTCCTTGGTCATTTATCTATGGAAGGAGCTCATGAGCTTGACATTTTTCAGTCATATGAGAAGTTCTCTATTCCAGGGTGTTCAGAATCAAAAGATATGGTGATAAGGCAGGCAGAGCTCCAAAGGAATGAAACAACAAAAAGACTGGTCTGTAACACCTAGGCACTGTCCACATGTAAATTGGGCTGCTTCACACTAAGTCATTTTTGAGAAGTACCAAAAGTGAATCTGGTGAATGAGTTCCTGAGTACAAATCATGCTTAATCATAGAATCACAGAATCATAAAGGCTGGAAAAGACCTCCTTTCATCTCATCCACTAAGCTGTGCCACATCTACGTGTTTCTTGAACATATCCTGGGGTGGTGACTGCATTGCTCCCCAGGGAAGCCTGTTTCAATGTTTTATCACTCTTTCTGAAAATAATTTTTTTGCTAATATTCAGCCTGAACCTCCACAGCACAATTTGAGGCTGTTCCCTCTCCTCCTATCTCTAGTTAGCTGACAGAAGCGGCCAACCTCCACCTCTCAACAATGTTCTTTCAGGTAGCTGTATAGAGCTATAAGGTCTCTCCTCAGCCTCCTCTTCTCTGGACTAAGCAATCCCATTCCCTCAGCTGCTCCTCATAAGACTTGTGTTCCAGACCCTTCTCAGCTTCACTGCCCTTCTCTGGGCACACTCTAGGACCTCGATGTCTTTCTTGTAGTGAGGGGTTCAATACTGAGCACAGATCAAGGTACAGCCTCACCAGAGCTGAGTACACGAGGACAATTTCTTCACTAGTGCTGTTGGCATTACTGACCATTACTGACTGGTGCTGTTGTATACTGATTCAAACCAGTATGCTCTTGGCCTTCTTGGCCAAGATGATCTGCTTCATAACCTTCCTTGATACCAAGGTCAGGTTGACAGGCCTATCATTCCCCAGATCCTCCTTACGACCCTTCTTGTAAATGGGAGTCACACTGACAGTTCTCCAGTCATCTGGGAGCTTCCCAGTTGACGAGGTCTGTTGATAAATGATGAAATGTTGTTTGTCAAGCGTTTTTGCCAGCTCCTTCAGTACCCTGGAGTAGATTCCATCTGGCCTCGTGAACATGTGATAGTCTAAGAATTACACTAAGCTGAGAGTTCAAACCCTTATCCTTCAGTAGATAGGACTGGTGCTCGGTGAGCAGTCCAGCTGCTAGGCCCAACAAGCTCCCAGGGTCCACCTCTTTTGAGCATAACATCTCCACGTTTCTGAGCCTTCACCCCATATTGTTTTTTCCATATGCAAAGGCGAACCAACAAGTCTGGGTTGAGTTTTCTGCATTGGAGAATTTTCTCTGAGGTTCTGCTTCTTCCATGGCAGGGTGCAGGATCAGCAGGGCAGCATCCTTCGCGTGCTCATTTTGCTGCAGAGTTCATGTTGTTCACTTTGGTCCCTTCCAGATCAAACTGACTCATGCATCTAAGGAAAATCTTTTTCCAGTTAGAAACAGCAGGCTCTGAGAAAATGCAGCAAAGGATTTAGCGAGCATGAGAACAAAATATTACGTTATCAATGTGCAAAATTAACTTTAAACTCTTAGTCAGTTCCTTAAGACTAATTGATTCATCCATATATATCATAATTGCATTACTAGAATTCTTTTCATTTGTATGTCAGCTAACTAACATAGCTTTTAGTGCTTTAAAAATAGCAATTAATTTGCTGTTTATATCTGATTGTCAAGCATGCCTTTGATCCAGGATTAATTCACACTAAGAGATTCTTCACTCTACAAATGATGATTTTATCTATGTTTGATCTGTTTTCTGTGTTTTAGCAGCTCCCTTTGTAGCTTTAAGCAAGCTCAAAATTCAGGTATATGTTTCAGTCATGATTTTGTGTCGTCTGATAATTTCAGTCAAATCTGAGGATGATTTTTAGAGTCTAGATGAAGATTAGAGATATTTGGAGGGAAGATTAAAATAAGTTATGCTGTCAATACAGAGAACTGTCATGCTTGTTATTATGTTGGAAAATGAAAGTTAAAACCTTATCTGATGTTTTGCTTTGCTGAATATACCTTGAGAAGTGCAAAGTGCATTTAAGACTGTAAGATCAACATGTTACAATTGGCATCTCAATTCATTAAAATATGTAGATATCCTTAAAGAAAAAAATCTTTCTCTTAGGTAAGAATACTGGTTAAATTTAGTCCTGTGCTGAAATTAGTAAATACTGCTGGATATAATCACTGTCTGTGGTTCAAAAAGCAGTTATTCTGCTCAGTAAATAGTTATGGTCTTTCATGAAACCATGCATCTGAGATAACAGCAGCCTTTATCCTGACCACCGTGAAGGGGTGTGTTTATGAAAGGGAGACAAATCAAGAACAGGATATGTAGTATTTCCACTGAAACAGCTAAGTCAAAAAAACATTCAGCTTAAATGTTGGCTGAACTGTTGTTAGATCTTTGCTGTCTATGGAAATAAAGTGGTTTGTATCGAATGACCGAAGCACCTACAACAAAGCTGTGCGTTGAACAGTTGGCTGAAACCTTCAGTTTTGATTAATGTTGCCACCTTTTGCCAGCTCAGTTGATTGCTCTGAAAGCTACAGGTAGAGTTTCAGGCTGCTGTGATGTAACAGTACACGGTAAAAGCTCTAGTTCTTCAAAAACACTGCAAGATAACCAAGAATGTCAAGACCTCGCTATTTCTAACAATGCCAAAATAAACAATAGATCATCTTTACACGTTGTGCAGAGACTTTACAAGACAGAAAATAATCTGATTTCTTTCCAGACTTGTTAATTGCAGTGTCTTGACGTCTAAGTGAAACTTCACTTTTTTTTATCTCTTCATTGTTTTCCAAAACGTTATGCACGTCTTATCCCTGTGAGGGGAAAATGTGTGCTCACTTGAATGATGTACATCTGTTTGGTACAGTGAGCAATAATATGGCTAGTCACAGTTGCCCCAAAATCAGCAACTAGAACTGGGTATTCTGAATTTGATTTAAAAAAATGATGATTTGAATGTGTGGTAACACCAGGCTCTCTTTATCTGCCTGCTGGGCTTTCTGCTTTACAGGTCACATTCGGGTTATATTTTCAGGCTTCTACTCATAATGGCAGAACACTTCATAAAATTGTAATTGAGATATCTGTGTAGTCTTTGCCTCTAGGTACCAGAGGGCTGTGCATAACAAGTTCTGATATAAAAATCATGTGGGTTGATGCTGTGGAGAATGAGCTGATCCCACCCTTCTGTTCTATATTATTTCTAATGTGAAGTGGTATTTGATAGGAAAAAAACTAACAATTGCTGATCCAGAAATGTTTGCTCAAATTGATAAGTTATTAATAAGGACTTAAAAAAAAAAAAAAAAAAAAAAAGACTTCTAAAATGTAATTTGCTTTATCTTAATATCAAGACCTTCACCAGGCAACTATAGAAATTTTTCTTTCCCTTACTTATACTCTTGGTCATGCTGGAAGATTACAGTAGTTTTATTAGTATATAAAACAGTGCATATGTCTGTGATTTTGTTTGTGCCCCTAAGAGTTTAAAAAATGGTGGAAGAGAATAATATTTGTTGTTATTATTATTACTGAAATATAAATCATGTATTGTTGTGTTTGTCTTTTTAAAGAAAAAAGCTTGATAGCTTCACTTCCAGCCCGTTCTCATTTTTCAGTTTGCAGCTTAAGTGGAGACAGAGGGAAAAACAGATTTTATCACTCTATCAGATGAAAGGTGACTGGGAGCCACCCAGCTTAGACCACATATCGTAATACATAATTCATACATCGCGTATCATATCACATAAGAACCCTGTCAGGCAAATGAAATGCTGTCACACTTGTGTGAAACTGTTACAGACAGAACGTCAGTCAGATATATTCAAAAATTATTCAACATAAGTTGTATTTTTGAGATCCGAACCGTATTGTTTTGATTGTTATCCCTGATTCTACAAACATACAATGGCTTAGTACAGGTTTCTCACTCACAAACAATATATTACTGTTAGCAGGATTCACTTTAAATTCTTTCAGCATCTTATTTATGTGTCTTCTGTTATCATTTTGCTTTCTTCCAAATATTAACAGATGGAGAGCTCTCCATACCAAATGAAGAAGGAGCTTTGGAGAATGGGCAGCCTCTGGGCTCTGGACAAGTGCTGAGCTCCAGCCAGGTATCCCTGCCAGCCCTAGCAGAACTGGAGTCAGGCTCAGCACCTGGGGAACCCTGCTCGTACGAGGTGCTCCCAACCACAGAGATCATGGATGGGACAGGTAACATCTTGTTGAAGACCAAGGTCTTCTGGTGGAGAAGGAGATAAGGCAAATAGATTATCATTGAGTGCTCCATAAAAAAATGTTTGCTCTCTCAGCACAGCAGTAACTGCTGCTTCCACACAAGTAAAGTCTGCAAGTAAAGCAAAGTCTCTGCATTTTGTGAACTTATAGCTGTGGATTTCTCTCCTGCTACTTCTCAGGTGTGCCAATGAGCTCAAGTGGTCTGACAGTATTTTTAAACCCTGGGGTATGTCTTGTCCTTTTCTCGCCATGTGGTGTTGGGTGACATTTACATCACACAACTTTCGGTAATTGGCAGCCAGCTGCGCTGCCCTAGGTGAGGCTATCTAAGCTTCGTCCTCAATCTATGAAGAGAGACAACAATCTGTACATCAAAGTTAAGCACTCATTCTGTGTAGCACTGAGAGTCATGGACAAAGGTCAGATGAGGAAAAGTGACTAGCAAAAGTGCCCATCTGCCATCAGGTGAACTGCGTGACCTCTTTGAAATGGAATAGCCCTTGTTTGGTGCTTTTACGGTTATAGTATTAATCTAAAAACCCCCTGCTAACATATAAGGTCCTGAGCAAGCTGTGGTGACAGACCATCCAGGATGTGACATTTGAAACATTTGCATTTGTATTCAACATGTGGGAATACGTCCCAGGCAGGCATACGGGACCTGATTTCTGTCAGAGGTAATGGGAAATTCATCTGTTGTGTAGATGCGTGTTACTCTTTCTCTTTTTCTTTCTTTCCTTCTTTCTGTGTTACACAATGTTTGAGTGAAATCTATTAGTCTTAACCTGCATTCTTGCTCTGCTTTTCACGTTCTACAATGGCTGTATCCGCTACTGCTTTGCTCGTAACGTTGTTGCGTCTATGATGTGGTTGTGTCCTCCAGTGTCTGAAGAAAGCCCCACATCCAATGAATCTGGAGCCCTCCTGTCCCAAGATCCTACAGCTAAGCCAGTCCTGCTACTTCCCCCCAAAAAATCTGCTGCTTTCCCTGGAGACCATGAGGACACCCCAGTGAAACAGTTGTCCCTCCTCAAACAGCCCCCTGCCCTGCCTCCTAAACCTATTGCCAGGATTGCCAGCCACTTAACTGGTAAGTTGGTGTTCCTAGACCCTCAGCGCTACCATTTCCCTTATAGGATAAGCCTGCCCTTGTAGCAAGGTGCTCTGTGTCTTGTAAAGATATTCACCCATGTTGTTGTGTGTACTGGTAATGTGTGTGTTGTAACTAGGGCAGGTATCACTGAGCATTTTCAGGCTGCACCATCATCAGGGTTGCTTCAGGACTCTTCCCCTCTCAGACATAATTATCTAATGCCAGCACAGCATTTCCTTCACTCTTTTTTATCAAGACGTACCATTACCACAAAAATTACAGAATGTGCATTGATGGGAAAGGAAATACCAAGAAAACACTAGATATCTTTAAATGCCTTTAATCATAAAGAGCATTGGGGTTGAGAGGAGAGGGAGAATTTTGCTTTCTTCTATTACTCTTTGTCACTCCTCCCCTCAACCACCATCTGGGCAGGTCCCTCTGCACACACCCTACATTTTTCCCTGTTTCTCTTTCACTTGCCCCCCTGTCCTTACACAGGCTGTACTATCCCATGGCTTCTTGCCATTTTGGCTCCCTGTTCACACTTCCTGCCACCTGCTTCCCCTGGACTCCACTCTCCTGTCTGTCATTTAGGCCACTGAAACAGAGAATTATTTCATTTACATGGAACAAAAAAGGTTCCCTAAGTCTTTGCCTGTATCTTTTGAACAGTCTGCTCCTAGTTTCCGCCACTTGCCAGAATGTAGTGCCTTGAAATCCAAGCTCAAGATGAGATATGGTTCATCTGTGTAGTGGGGCAGCTCCCGTTGTTCTCACTGGGTTGCTCTTCTGGTGTTAATGCTACTCCAGCCTTTTTAGGGCTAATGTGAAAAATATTCAGTCTTCCTTGTTTTACGTAGCTTAAGAAAAATATCAGGAAAGATCTCATTAGGGAAGAACATGTTTTGATTTTCTCTCATAACTGTATGTGGTCTCTTCATGTTCCTGTTTGGATGGCTATACATTTTTGTTCAGTATAGTTTTCTTCATTTTATGTGGAATCTCTTTGTTTTCTTGCCTGCCAAAATCTACACATAATTGCCTTATACTACAGACCAAATGGGCATGGTAGCCAGGTAGCAGTATTAATGGCTTCAGGTGAGGAAAGTGACAGCTTCCTATTACCCTCCACTTCATTCTAATTACAAAAAACGTCTCAAAAATGAGGCCAACATGAAGAAAATATTTAAAAATAATAAAAATAAAAAAGGAATAGTGTAGGTAAAAAAAATAAGGTGTAGGAAAAACCTCTGGTACTAAGTAGCCATCATTCAGAAGCCTTCCTTTCATGGAAGATAGCAGAAGCATTGCAGATGGGTGCTTCTGATGGTTTGGGGTTTTTTTTGCAGCTGGAAATTTTGTGTGAAGTAGAATTGGTCTTAAGCATAAATCAATTGCTTGATGGTGATGACTTTCCAATTAAAGTGAAATATAACTGTGACTTCTCTTAATTCATGGTAACCTTCACTCATCTCTCATTCGATCATAACTGACCTCTTGTATGTGCATATGGACAGACTGTTGTACATGCGTACATGCAGGAGAAAAGAGCTGAGATTTAGATTTGGTTAAGGCATTCCTGCTAGAACAGAAAGCCTCATTTGTACACACTTTATAAATAAAAGCATTAAGCTTATTCTTAAGGATCCATTTACATTCATGGTCTAATGATGTGTTTGTTCAGCTCCTTGTGTTCTCCAGTGGTAATCATATTAGCCACGTATAATTTTTGGAAATGAGCAGTCAATCCTAATGAAGCGCCCTCATCAGTGAGAAGCAGAATTAAGGATATTCTTTTACTAATAACCCTAGAGACATCCTCAGCTTGTGTATGGGAAAACAGGTAAAATCTGAATCCTGGCATTCCAGGTGAAGATTGTTCTCATTACACACCCATTTCTCTATTAAGTATTTTTTGAGAATATTGAAGGAAAGATTAAGAGATTCTGATCATGACTGGTAGGAAGGAACAGTGGCCTGTTAGCTATCTCTGTTCAACAAGAGTGCAAGGGAAAATGTGACCTTGTGATGGAACACATTTCAGTCAGAAGTTACAGAAATGCCTCAAGTTCAGTCTTAACATGTTTGTATGTATGCAAATACGTGCATATGCATAACTATTTAATGTAAATGTGTTTTTTACAAATGTAAATGGGAACATGATATTATAAAATCACTAAAGGTATAAAATCAGTAAAATGATGTCCCTTTGGGGTCAGATCTGGGACCAATGCTCTTTAACTTCTTCATCAATGACAGTGACATCAGAAGGTTTGCAGATGACACCAAGGTGTGTGGTGCGGTCAACATGCCTGAGGGACAAGATGCTATTCAGAGAGACCCAGACAGGCCGAGCAGTGGGCCCAGGCTCAAGCAGTGGACCTCATGAAATCCAAATGTGAGGTCTTGCACCTGGTTTGCAGCAACCCCCGCTATCAGTACAAGCTGGGGGAAGGAAGGAGAGAGCGTAGCCCTGCTGAAAAAGTCTGGTAGATGGCATGTTGGACATGAGCCAGCAATGTTCCCTCATAGTACAGAGGGCTGCATCAAAAGAAGCATGGCCAGCAGGTTGAGGGAGGTGATCAAACCCCTCTATTCTGTGCTGGTGAAGCCTCACCTGGAGTTCTGGGTCTGCATGTGGAGTCATCAGTACAGGAAAGATGTGGACCTGCTGAAGTGATCCAGAGGAAAGCCACAAAAATGATCGACTGGGTGAAACATCTCCCCTGCAGATGCGGACTGAGAGAGCTGGGGCTGTTCAGCTTGGAGAAGAGAAGGCTCTGGGGAGACCTGAGAGCAGCATTTCAGTATCTAAAGAGGGGCTGTAAGAAAGAAGGAGACACTTGGCTGTTGTGAAAGGACAAGGGGAAATGGTTTCAAACTAAAAGAAAGGCAGTTTAGATTGGGTATAAGTAAGAAGTGTTTTACAATGAAGGTGGTGAGGCACTGGAACAGGTTGTCCAGAGAAGTAGCAGACAGAGGCATTCAAGGTCAGGCTGGACAGGGCTTAGAGCAACCTGACGTAAGTATAAGTGTCCCCACAGTGTTCATTGCAAGGGAGTTGGACTTTAAGGAGTCCTTTCCCAACTCAAAAATTCTATGATTCTATAGTTAGGATTAAAAAAAAAAAAAAAAGAAGAATGAATAAACACAGAACTTGAGGAAATAAGAGTTTCCTTTGTGTCTGATATGCTTCTTGCTGAGAACTTGCCCCAGAGTTCTTCAATAATGGTATGAAGACTGACTTGCAGGGTTTGTCAAATAATGTAATACAGGTTTTAGAAATGTCAAAGAAACAATCTTCACCTCTGAAAGCATGTGCTAATACAAAGATCGGTCTTTTCCATGATAAGAAATGCATATAAAAGAGCAGGCCTAAAATAATCATGTAAAAGCACATACGATTTTGTGAAAAATAAAAATGAATAATTGGTTTTTAAAATGACAGGAAGATAATTGCCTGTAACAAATACAAATCACACAGCCATGGCATGACTCTTCTCAAGGCCTAAGAGCCTTAAGAAGGGGATGAAGCCATGTGGGAATGGAGACGGGCCAAGAGCAGACTGTAGAGCAGTCACTGCAGGGGTGCCTCTGGTGCTGCAGAAGGGTGCTTGGTACTTTTCTCCACACCATCTCCCAATGCTCTTGGTAGTGCTGCATCAGCACAGAGCATCCCTGTCACGGTACTGGGTGTGGAAATGCCATCACAGCCTCTCTCTAATTTTTACCCTGTTGGAACAAAGCAGCATGCCTCTCTTAATTGTTATTTGATTCCTTTCTAGCACAAGATGGGCAGACCCAGCAGAAAAATGCAATTCTTAATTGTTTTGATACTGTCGATCCACTGCTCTGCATTTCCTGTTGGCCTCCTCGTGAGCTCCTGCTGGCTTTCAAATATGATCATTATTGTAGAAACTTCATGAGCAGAATTTCTTTCAATTTTCATTTTCCAATATCCACATGCAGTACTCGGGCATTTAGGACAACGCTTCAGCCCCCGCATTTCATTGAAGATTAAGGAAGAACTGAAATCATCACCTGGGACCAAATTTAACTGAACTGCTGGGATTGAGTCTCTAGATTATCATAAAACTTTTAATGTCTAAACAACTCTTCCATAATTATGACACACTTATTACTTAACCATGTACAGGTTTGAGTGGTCACAACCCCATTGGGAACCAACATCCTGCAAAATTTCTCATTACTTTGTGCATGAAGAATCTAATCCAAAGGAGATTAATCAGACTTGCACACCTGGCTTCACACAGTTGGCTTCTCTTCTGTCACATTAGTGTTTTGTGCAATGATTTAAAACTGTAGTAATCTTCTACAGAGAAGACAGTTATCACAGATTCCTTGCTCATATTTCTCCTACCCAGCTACTTATTTATCTACAAATGTCAATGTCTGATGGATATTCCATACTGGAGACAATAAGCATTTTTATCTCTGCTTCATGCATCACAAATATTGTGAAATTAATAAAAGAAAGAACTGTAAAATGCAGTCTCTTTCAGGATTTAGGCACAATGGACAAGTCATTCTGTCCTTTAATCCACAGTGGTGGTGGCATTTCTAGTAGTATGCCTGGAACCCATGGGTTTGAGCAAAGTTCTGAACCACTTGCTGATCAGTCCACTCTGTTTAATTTTCAGTGCACAGCTTGTCACCATTACTGATGACAGTGAAGACGTATTGATACGTTTCTGTGTGAAGGGATCAAACTTTCCTTCTGTTGCAGTCATTCTCCTTTTAGCCTTTTTTTTTTTTTTAACAGGCACATATAATTCTCCTGAAGGTAGACAGTAGACGAGTGGAGTTAATGGCTCTGGTTCACTTTCAAGGCTGCATTTAGACATTAGGAGCCCAAAATGCTAACCATACCCTGGGGTGCATCAGGCTCAGCACTGCCAGCCGGGCAAGGGAAGGTGTTGTGCCACTGTGCTCTGTGCTGTATGGCCTCACCTCGAGCACTGGGGGCAGTTGTGGGTGCCACAGTATGAGAAGGGTGTAAAACTATTACAGGGTCCATGTAAGAGCTACAAAGATAGGGAAGAGTTTAGAGGCCAAGGCGTGTAAGGATGAGCTCAAGTCGTTTGATTCATTCAGCCCAGAGCAGACGAGGCTGAGGGGAAGCAAGAGATACCTGCAGTTGGAATCTCTTTTGAATTCACTCTGTATATCATGTAAAAAAAATAATGGTGTATCATGGCACAGACACTGTCAGGTGAAGATGTTAATTGAGCATACAACAGAAACAAATACAAAACTAACAGACAGATCTGCACTTTTCAATGTGAAAATGAAGATCTTAGGATAATTTTTGTAATTCAGGACGAGCTCCCGAAGTGAAATTGCCTGGAGCACAAATGTATGAACACATTTTGTTACTACAAACCCCATAGGAGCCTTATGCTCTCAGGGCTCTATATAATTTACTCCTTTTTCTTACTTATCTTCTATTGAAGATGTATTCTTTTATGGAGAATACAAAAAGAAGATACACACAACTAATGTGTATGTAAGAAAAACACAGAAACGCAGTAACTTGGAGACCTGCTTGTGCTTGCAAAGAAAATCTTTAAAGTTTTTTTTTTCTACTGTACAGTAGACAATCTGCTTTAGTGGAGAGGACAGTGCCCTGTCATTTGGCAGTCCCTTGAGTTAGATTTCAGTCTTGATGCATTGGAATTTTTGCCTTCAAGAGAGGCAAGACTGAGCAGATATCATGTCTGTCAGGCGAAGTTTGTGGCTGTCAGGCAAAGTCTTGGTGACTAGAAAAAGGGAAATATCAGTGCCATATTCAAGAAAGGGAGAAAGGAAGACCCGGGGAACTAAAGGCCAATGAGCCACGTGTTTGTGCCTGGGAATACCATGGAGCAAATCTTCCTGGAAGAAATGTTAAAACATATGCGAGATGTGGAGGTGATCTGAGACAGCCAACTTGGATTCACCAAAGGCAGATTGTGCCTGACCAGTCCTATGGCTTTTTTTTTGGAGTGATGGCACCTGTGGAGAAAGGAAGGGCAACTGATGTCACCTACCTGGACTTGTGCAAGGCCTTTACATAGTTCCACACCACATCATCATCTCTAAATTAGAGAGATATGGGTTTGAAGGTTGGACTATTTGGTGGATAAAGATACGGTTGGATGGTAGGCAATAGGCAGAGGGTTGTTGCCAGGTAGAGACCAGTCACAAGTGGTGTCCCCCAGGGGTCCGTCCTGGGATCAGTGCTCATCAACATCTTTATCAGTGACAGACAGTGGATTCGAGTGTACCTTTCACAAGTTTGCTGATGTGGTGCAGTTGACACAACAGAAAGGTGGGATGCCATCCAGAAGGACCTGCACATACTCAAAAAGTGGACACGTGAGAATCTAATGAGGTTTAACAAGGCCAAGTGCAAGATGTTGCACTTGCATTGAGGCAGTCCCAAATAAGAGCACAGACTGGGAGAAGAACTCACTGAGAACAGCTGTGTGGAGAAGGACCTAGGCGTTCTGATGAACGAAGAGCTGGACATGAGCCAGCAGTCTGCCAGTACTTGCAGCCCAGAAGACCTACAGTATCCTGGGCTGCATTGAAACAGGAGTAGCCAGCAAGGAGAGGGAGGTGTTTTGTCTCCCTCTACTCTGTGCTTGTGAAGACCCATTTGGAGAACTGTGTCCACGCTTGGGGCAGAGCTGTACGAGTGGGTACAGAAGAGGGCCACAAAGATGACTGAAGGACTGGAGTATCTCTGCTATGAAGAAAGATTGAGGGAGTTGGGCTTGTTTAGCTTGGTGAAGAGAATGCTCTGGGGAGATCTCGGAGGAGTTGGAACCGAGTAATCTTTAAGGTCCCCTCCAACCTCAGCCATTCTATGATTCTATGATATGATACTGCACTGAAAACAGAAACACTTGGGTTCTCGCATCTGTAACTATCCTACTCCACAATTTGGAAAGACCACTATCAGTCCATGCCTCCGTTTCATCTTTGCACACCCTTTTCTTCCCTGGTCTCTTGAAGAAAGGGAAGGCTTGCTATTTGTGTGGGCTTCTTTGTTCTAGAGTAACATCAGTTTCAAGTGGATACTGTGGGTGCAGTAAAGCATCCACAGTAGCACTAAGCAAAGTCCAATACCATGAATGAGCTTGGCATTATGCATGGTCTTCTTCCTCCTTACTGTCCTTAAGCGTTTTCACGAAGCATTAGATCTTATAAGTCTTGGTATTGACCTTGTGCACCCTGGCTAGTAGATATGGATACTAGTACAAGCAACGCCCAGCACAGTCCATAAGGAGGGAAGGATAAAGAGATCAGGGAGAAGGGTAGTTAACACTAAGAAGAACCATCTGGAAAAGATCCTTAAAAATCAGATATTACTCAGGAGAGTGATGTCATTTGAAACTAGAGGAAGCAGCATCTTACTGGCAAGCTTTCTTGGGCCATAAGAAGATTCTGACCCTTCAATTCCTTTACCATTTTACAGCAAGAGGTATGAACTGAAGCTACAAGAAGCCACAGAGCATGCAGAGCATTGCAGAGCCAAATGTCTGGGGTGGGATACCATGCTATGTAGGGCTTGGCCTTGCAGCTCACAATATGTATATATTTACTACCATTTTCTTTGCTGCTAGCATATTCTGTGATCATTCCCCACACACATTTTGGGAACTCCAAGCCGTCCCATTACCTCTTCTCCCTTTTGAAACCCTTTCACTGTGCAGCTCCAAAAATCTGCATCCTGCAGCCTAGTCCAGGCAGAGGTGTTTGTTTATGGACTTCCCTTGTCTTTCCATGGAAACCAGGGGAATCTTTGCTTGACAGAACAACTGTGTTATTCAAGAATATGTCTGGAGTTAAAAAGGTTAAAATTAGAAGAGCGTCTGCCAAGTCTTCTGTAAAATAACGTGTTAATCCTAACTATCTTCCACCTTTTACCATCTTCTCCTCCTGTATCCTTTATTTTTCCAGGTCACTCCTATTTAACATTCAAACCCTATCTCATTTCTCTTTTGCCCTTTAATGTAGTTTTTGACACCAGATTTTTTGCACCTTACAAAGCTGTAAGAGAGGTGACTTGTAGTAATTGCATTGCAGTAGCTGAGAAGGGTCGGGTATGCCTGAGCTTTCATTCCAGCAGTGATGGTGATGAGTCCTCCCATCACTTCAGACTCCAAACTGCTTTCCATGTTTCAGTGCTTGTTGGGTAGGAGAGGTTGTGCTTACTTCTCAGGGCTGGTTTGGGGGATTAGTGCTTTAAGGTATTGAAGTGTGCCACAAAGCCTTGTTAAGCATTGCTTACTGTGTTTCTTAAGGGGCATGTGCAACCTTGGGATGTTTTTGTGAGACTCAGATCTGCTGCAAAACAACCGATCTTTAAAAAAAGACAGTGCTGAATGAAAGCCATGCAGAGCTGTCTGTCACATGGGGGAGGAGAAGCACACACCTGTGTTGATTAGCAAACTCAGTACCTGCTCACCCTGGCACTGCCATGAAAGTTAACACCAGGGCCTCTCTTTCTTCTGTTCTAGATCCTGGCGCTCCTGTGAAACTGCCTTGTATGCCAGTTAAACTGTCGCCTCCACTACCTCCAAAGAAAGTCATGATTTGCATGCCCTTAGGGGGGCCAGACCTCTCCTCTCTCTCATCCTATTCCACACAGAAGAGCTCCCAGCAGCCTTTGACTCAGCACCATCACACTGTCCTGCCATCCCAGTTAGCAGCTCACCAGCACCAGCTCCAGTACGGCAGCCACAGCCAGCACCTGCCTTCTGGATCCAGCACGTTGCCCATACACCCTTCGGGGTGCCGGATGATAGAGGAACTGAACAAAACACTAGCCATGACCATGCAAAGACTAGAAAGGTAATGGATCAACTTTAAAAAAAATGTATTAATGTGCACTGTTTTCCTCCTAGCCTCAATGTCAGTATTAACATCGGAGTCATATTGGTAGTACTGGAAGCCCCTTCTCTGGGGATCTAGCACCTTCAGAGCAGAGTCATTGTTGGAGAAACAGAGACAAGCTTTTCCAGGCTGGTTAGAGAACTGTGTGGCAGAAAGGTGAAAAAGACCAAATTTCCTGAGCCCTTGTCCTGTCATTGCTAGGTTACACTACCAGTGTAGAAAAGGCTAAGAGAACGTATCTGGTTTGCAGTATATACTGTAGAGTATATAACTGTACAGCTCCAGTTATGTGGAGGATTGCTTAAAAAGAAAAAAAAAAAACAACAAAACAAGTAAAGGAAATAAAAGATTCAGAAAAGACCATTAAACCAAACGTGCCACTCAACCAGGACATCTGATTAGTATTACCAATTAGCTCAAAACAACCTATGAGAATTTTGTACAAATCACTTTGCAGGGCTTTAATACACTATTTAAATTATTTCAGTTACTTTAAATTAAGTATTTAACCCTTTCCACAGCAGCTCCCTTCTTATGCATTTGCATCTGGAGGAAGGTTGTACATTTAATCAGAAGAGCCTTACCCACCTTGGGGCTGCTTTTCATTACTGTCACTTGTGAGCCTCTCTGAATGCTGTTTCAAGTGGTCTGAATAAGTGAAGCATGTTGCATAAATGCAAGCTGTCCTCATAGACAACTAGATCAGCAAGCTTTGGAAAAATTATTTTGACTTTTAGATGAAAATTGAGCAAGTTGCAGAATAGAGGAGATAGTCCAAAAATGACGTTCTTTATAGTTACAAGGGCAGCTTTGTAACCAGCTTGTTCTAGGCATGTCAGATCATCCTTCTGTTATACAGGAAGCTAAAATATTTGGTCTCACGGACAAAATGCCTGATGACTTGCCCCCATATCTCTTTGTGATAACATTACCTTCATTATATTGCACAGTTAAAAGGATTTCTATTAGAGATGGCAGATTCTCCTTGCTGCCTCTAAAAATAGAGGAACAGAGGCTGTCCTCCTCTGTCAGCTTATTTCACTTCCAGGATACTGAGATCTCTGCAGTTAGATCAAGGGGGCTAAAGCTTCTGTGGCCTGACAAAATTCTCTGCTGGGGGAAAACTATAAGGACAGTGATAGAAATTCCTGTTCCCATCAATAAAAGAACTGTAGCAGAAGGATTAGAAGGAGTATCCACAAACCATCCTGTGCCTAGTGACCACCTCTCACACTGCATCAGCCCAGAGCATGGTGCACTGAGTGCAGAAGATAGCAGTGTCTTGCAGAGGCTCCTTTGTGGCAGCTCTGCTAATGCCATCCCCAGCACAGGTTGGATACTGACCTTACAGTCTGGCTCACATTGTGTGCAAAAGGCACAGTGAAATCTCTCAGAGTATGACTTCACTGTGGCATCTGTTGCCCCACAGCAACAAATGCTCCAATTTCTAGGCATCCATCAAGTTTACGTCTGCAAGTATGCTTAACTGATTTAAAGAAGGTTATGCTGTTTGGTTTTAACTATTAATTTGAATTCAAAGCTGCGCCGCTTGTTAATAATGTAATAAACAGGGATTCATGCCTTAACATGATGCAGTTGCATCCCTCTGCAGAAGAGAGTAAAAAAGGTTGTGGCACTGATATTTCACATTAAAAATTAAAATGAATCCTAGTGCGTGATATTGCAGTTGGTTTTTCATAGCCTTTTGGGGTGATTAACTGTTATTTCATTCATGAAATAAAGTACTGAGTACTTCAGTTACTCTCCTTGTCAAAACAAATCAATAATATTTCTAACGTTTCACAGGAGAGAAAATAGGAAATGACTGTTTCCTTTACTACAGCAATTGTTATTTCATAGTATTGATAGACAAAAGGGTCTGTGGAACTGACATTTGGTGTTAAAATCTTAAAACTATTTTTCCAAGCAAGACTGTGGCCTGTGCAGATTTTTAAGATACACACATCTAATTTAGGAGATTAGTTTTACCAAATACTGCTTTTTTCTGATGCTTCTGTCAGTACTTCTTTTCCCTTAATTGCATAAACTCTGGATGGAACCCAGTGGAAATCATATTTCAATATATCTCATTGGACATTTCAGCCCAGAAATATTGAAAGCCTTTTAAAACTGCACAGATCCCAGATCTACTTTCTTCTGTTTAAAATTCAGTAATGTGCTCCCGTCTGTTGCATGCATAAGATAGACAGTGACATCCAGAGCTTTACTGTTCCTTCTGACACTACTGGGTCACTGCTCTTGGGCCAACAATCTTGAGGCATTTGTTTTTGCTGATCAGTCTTTATCTTGAAACAGTCCTACATGATAGCATAATAGCCTTTCTACTCCATTTAATATTGATTCCAAGTCTGGTGATTTGGGGGATTATTTTCTTTAATAAAGGAGAATCTCATAGATGAATACAGATTAGTATCCTGCTCTCCATTTTATTTAGTTGTTTCCTATATTAATTATTTTCTCTTCCCTGAGTCTGGCTTTTTGTTCCTGATAGAGTAGAATCTCAACTCTGTTAAATTCCATTGATACACACACCAGTTCCACATTTTGTCTGCTAAACTGATCTTATACTTCACAATTCTTCCTTCAACCAGGACTGTGAGTGTGGACAGGATGAAAGAAAGAGTGAAACACCCCCTTCTAGCAATCTGGATGGGTTTTTTGTTTGGTTGGTTTTTTGTTGTTTTTTTTTTTGAAGATGGGGTCTCTGGAATTCAGATAGCCTAGCAGCATCTGAAGAACAATATTTGATTTGCCAATGCACTACAGTTTTGGCCAAAGAAAAATGAGCTGTCTCTCTGTACCAGAAAGAAAGCCAGAAGTTATTTTGCTGTGTTTGACCTTGAGAAAGCTACTGAGCTTCTTTTCCTCTAGCTGCTTAAAACTGCAGTTAATTCCCAGATCTTTTTTAGTTTTATTGCAGACACTACAGAGCATTAGGTTCATTTACACACTTAAGACTTCTGATGCCAAAAAAAAATCTGGTACTTAAAACATCAATTTGTAAACTATTCTTAGAAGGGAAATCTATCCTTTGTTGTAATATGATTATTAAGACATCATTTGCACTGCCAGCGTGCCTTCGTTTTCCCTGAAAAATTACCAGATTTTTGATAGATTAAGAAGAAACAGAAAGAGGTGTGATTTCCATGTAACCTATTTTCTGCAACGTCTGTTGGTGATTTTTACCTACTGCAAATAGATTTCAGCTTCAACCCAAAGTATATATGTTCAGCATAAATCACAGAGTCATAGTATGGCCTGGGCTGAAAAGGACCACAACGATCATCTAGTTTCAACCCCCCTGCTGTGTTCAAGGTCGCCTATTCTGATGATTTTTTACCAGTCTGTGACACATTTTAAGAGATACTGAAGCTCCATTATTTCCCACTAGCATCCACCAAAGGCTTGATCCTCCTGACTGAATTGAAATTGAGAGGAAGGACCATGCCCAAAAGGATCTCAGCAAAAGGTAGTAATAGGGGAAGCTTTAGAAAGCCTGTTATACCATCGTAATATGCCTTTAACTCCAACTTAGTAGCTTCTTGACCTGAAGCCTAGAGAGTTCTTCATCGGACTAGCAAGACAAGAAATGATTTCAATTACTCTGTGGACTGTTGTACAATAGGAACAGACTCAGTGCAAACACCGAGAAGCTGTTAAGTGTCTGTATCTCACCCTGGACTAGAATTGAATCCATGACAGAGAAGCAGAAAAGTGTGCTGTCCAAAAGACAGTTTGTGAGACCGTTTCCTCTGGGACATAGAGTTCAGCTTCAGACCATACATTCACAAAATGAAATGCATTTAATATTCCTGACAGTGTCTTATAAATCATATAAAATGTATTTGATTCAGAAAACATTTATCTTCCAAAAAGCTTGTCAAAATAAGTGCTTCTTGTCTAAACTTCAGTATTACTTAAGGTAAGAAACACATGATATTTATGTCTCTGCCTTCCTTCTCTCTGTCTCTGGCATATACCCAAACAGTATCAATGTATATACAGTCATTTGAGTTTTTGTTTTAACTGATGAGTACAGGACAGTGTCCCATGGATCAGAACATGCTGGTAGGATTGAAACTCTTTATTCCAAATCTAAGAGACTATGATGATAGAGGAGAAGCATATGCTTTTTCCCGCAGATTTACAGGAGGCATTTCGCTTTTTTTTCTATTTACATTTTTTTCTGTAACATGAGCCACTTATACACCTAAATTCTGATTTTTCATGAATATCTTTTCCCAGTAGGCATTCAAGGCCAGGCTGGATGTGGCTCTGGGCAGCCTGGTCTGGTGGTTGGTGACCGTGCACACAGCAGGGGGTTGGAACTCAATGAGCATTGTGGTCCTTTTCAACCCAGGCCATTCTATGATTCCATGATTCACTAGAAATACTGGAAGCTGTACTAATGTAACATTTTTGCCATTTTAATCACATAAGAATAATACAACAGTAAGTGCATAGTCAGCTATGAATTATTCAAATCTATGCATTAAGATACATTTATCTTTCTAAAACAAGTACGTGCTTAGCTATGGTCTGTACTCTAATGGCAAAAGATGAAGCTGATTTAGAACGGACAGTTTAAAACAACAGTGTGCTTTTTTTCAACGAATAATGCTGAAAAACGTTGTGGTGTAGACCACCTGACTATGGGTTTTTTTTGCTAATGACCCAGAGGAGTTTATACTCAATGAAGATATACAGTGACCTTGGTACATCTTTCTTAAGCATACTGCAGTAATGCATGTATTTCACAAGCTTTGTTTCGACAGCTGACTTTGCCAAAATGATGTGAAGAAGGCTAAGTATAGTCAAGAAAAACACAAAACATTAGGAAAAATGAGGGACTTAAAATAGAAAATAGTTTTAGCTAGAAAATGGATGATTCACAAAAATTACAATGAGATGAGAAGACTTCTATTTCTAGAACAGTAGTTCAAATAAAGATTAGGTGTGGTAGTTTGTAAATCTTGTTTCTGTTTGCTACCTGCTTGGTAACCTACATTGGTGAGCCACTTTGATATCTGCTGCCCTATGCACATATGGATGAGTCCGTAACCTACATCCATCCTTCACGGAGCAGTGAAGCACCAAATGCTCCTGGGTGCTGAACTATTTTCTGCTGCTTTCATTTGTGTTTCCAGAAGGGGCTTAGCCAACGTGCACTTACTCTCTGTGAACGTATTGTTTTCAAATCAGGTGAATTAATGATTCAGCAGTTGTGGTCACCATTCTTTTAGCAATATTAACAGAATTTCTTTATTCTAGTTTCTCTTGAAAATCCAGGCTTCTGAATTTCCTGCTTTTCCTCTTAAAGGAGCTACAAAAAAAAAAAAGGTTATATAGCAAAATTATTTTTCAAATGAAATTAGTAAATTGAATTTTTTTTTAAATGTAGCACTATCTTGGGAGTTAATTTTTTAAAGGCTGTAATACGTTTGTGTGTCACTAGGAGAATTCACCTGGTGAGTTCTAATACTACTGCTGCATTAAAAATATCTTAGATCGAACCTACTGAAGTCTAACACAAATTCACAAGCCAGCTTTTTGTGAGTTTTTCATGCATTTTGGTGTGAAACATAGAATATTACTAAGAAAATGGAGTTCCTCTTTTCAAGGCATCCAGTAAAACTGTGCAGCTCATTCTTGTTTAGTGTGTGATAATAAATGTTGCAATTAATAAAATGATTCCTTAGAAGCTGAACACAGTGATAACAACATGGTGTGGTTTACTCACAGGATCTGAAGCCTTTTATTCTCCTTAATCCCTAAGCTCATTGTGTCCTAGCATTATGTACCCAAAAATACATTTTTATAACATTCTCTAGGATGTCATTTGGCAGCCACTTGAGAGTCTATGTTAAATTTAGATTAGAAAAAAAGAGAAATGTTTCAAGTTGACTTCACAGAAAATCATTTAAAGAGGTTTTTTTGTTTTTTGTTTTTTGTTTTTTCCCAAGATGTGGAATGCCTCTTGTACTCTGAGTAGTACTGAAGAGAATTGAGGCTTCTTAGCACTTGGTAAGGTCACTCCCAAATTTGAGTGCTTCAAGTGCAGCTTGGTCAGCACATTTGCTTTCACTCTTGAATTCTTGTGCAAAGTAAAATGAGAATTTGACACAAAGAGCAACATGTTCCTCACCTTTCATGCACTTGTTGTCTCAGCTGGGACTTTGGAGGGAGAAGTTTCTCCCCAGTAACAGACATCATCAGGGGGAAGTTTTTCACACACAGGGTGGTGAGGCACTGGAACAGGTTGCCCAAGGAGGCTGTGGATGCCCCATCCCTGCAGGCATTCAAGGCCAGGCTGGATGTGGCTCTGGGCAGCCTGGTCTGCTGGTTGGTGACCCTGCACATAGCAGGGGGATGAAACTATGATCACTGTGGTCTTTTTCAACCCAGGTCATTCTGTGATTCTGTGATTTTGTGATTCTATGATCATTTTTGCCTACAGATCTCTGATTCTCATTTCACGATAGGAAAGCAACATGAGTGATGTTTGACTTCAGTCTTCAACTCTTCGCATTCCTATTTCACTGCTTGTATTAGTGGGATCCTTGTTGAAAGACACTGAAATCAGCACATAAGCAGAGCTAAACATTAGATATTTCTGTTCTAGTTTCTTCTCAAAAAGGGATGTAAGACCATTACTAAAAGCAGTGAGTGAAGCAACCCAGTCTTCCATTGCACTGTTTCCTTTTAGTTCATTTATTTGTTTTTGTTTCCCAACAGCTCTGGTTTACACACAGGTGACAATGTTACAAAAACAGGACCTGGAGGCCTTCCAGACATGAGACAAGTGCCAACTGTTGTGATCGAATGCGATGACAATAAAGAAAATGTGCCTCATGAAGCTGACTATGAAGATTCTTCCTGTCTCTACCCAAGACAGGAAGAGGAGGAAGAGGAAGACGAAGATGAGGATAACTCGTTATTTACAAGTTAGATGCATTCCATTTTTCCTTTCTCATTTAATGAAGTTTTCCTCTGAAATCTTGATACACAAAGGAAACACACGGCCTGCAAATTTTCTTTCTTGACCATGGCTTTGAGTATGAATTTAAACTGATTACCCTAATCCCTGTGGATAGTTCTCATGCAGAATTCAAATGACCTTTTTTGTTTTATCTTAGTTTACTTTCAAACTGACTTTGAGATTCACTACTCCAAGTGTCAGCAGTATAGAGAAGCAATGACTTTGGCTTAAGTCAAGATCATCTCAGCAGGGTTACAGAAGTGCCATAGATAGATAATCAGATATTATGAGCATTGTCAGTATTAAATCACATCCAAATCAGAAGTTTGCACGTGCTTTTAGAGGGATAAAACCAGAGAATAAAACTCCTAAATGCAGGTCCAATAATAGAGGAAATAGTCTTGAAATTTCTATACAGGAAGATATGAATAAAAAGTGGGGGAGGAGAATCTTATTTTTCTTCCTAGGAGCACACCTACTTAAAAAGTCTGTGGTGTGCAATTTAGATTACGATGGTAGAGAGGATTGTGCAGATGATTGGTATACAGATGCTCTGTTCTGCACAGGAATGCAGCACAGTTCTGCTTTCCACTCTGATGCATTTTACTTTGCAAACAATGTGAGAGTATGTGTGGGAGTAAGTTGGTTTGTGTTTAGATCCCAGGTTTTTTTTCAGTTCTGTTTTTGTTCTTTAGTTTTTTTAATCTATAAACCTGAAATCTTGACTTGATCTTACATAACTGAGGAAATGAATCTGATTTTACCATACAATGTTTTTGCATGAGGATAACTTCTTTTATTTTTCTGGAGTTATTTCATATTTGCATCATTGTTACTCAAACTGGGAATCAAATTTATATACCCCATGATAACTATCTAACTGCTGTAGGCAGTTCTATACTGACTTACAATCTGTTGAGGTGCTTGTATCAGCACAAAATGAATATAAAATGCCACTGCTGGATTATGTGTGATTTTATTCCAGTTTACCATGGTCCATAGTAGTGACAAATATGAATAGATTAATTGACAGCTGTATCGCAACTGCAATTTGGAGGGACTTTTGCCCCATTTCTGATCTCTAGGAAAAACAGCTGTCTTGGTGTGCCATCTTTGGGCTGTCATGAAGATGAGGTACCTTACTTTGTGGTGACGCAAAGGACATCTTGCCATCCTGCAGTTTGAGCTGAAGTTTCAGGCCATTCAATTTTTTTGCTCCTGAAAACCAACAGCAGTATAATCACACCATTTTTAAAGCACACACATGTTTCTAAAACAGGCGTATTTCATCATCTCAGAATCTTACCTTACTTTGCAAGTGAAATCAGAATCTTTTGTCTTAAATGCAGAAGCAAAGCAGAAGTGCATTATCTGGCATTTTCCTGACAAAGTCTAAAACCTCTTAGGGGCTTACGGTCTGCCTTGCACAGTCTGCTTTGGGTGCAAACCAAGGGAGGCAACCTTGTGCCATGAAAGACCACTGATTTTCACACTGTCTTTCCCACTGTCAGTGCCTGAGAAGCAGAATCAGCTAATTAAGCTACTTAAAGGTCTATTCCATTTCTCATAGACTTGATTTTTTTTTAATGCTAACTTGGATGTCTTGGTGTTACACTACAATAGAGAGATGCCTCTCTCTTTCCACATGCTGTAGCTCTGCTGCCCTCTCAGAGGTTTAATTATTCATTCCATTATGAATTCCAAAACACCACAGATGCTTCTAGAAATTATGAAACAGGCCTTTATTCTCTATTTCCCTCTGCGGAGCAATATTCTTTTTCCTGTGTAACTACAAAAATCATCCTTTCTGTATTATGGCATGAATTGAGGCTAACTGAAAACCAGATGTTAATTGATGCCCCTTTTCCCACAGTCCATACCAGTGTAAATAAGAATGTAGCACCCTCCCTTGCCTGCCACTTCCTTGCCTGCTGTATGCTGGAATGTAATGATGACAGCTCCTTTGGCAGAGCCTCTCCTCTCTCCCACAGGTTCCCTGGCAATGAAAGTCTGCAGAAAGGACTCTTTAGCAATCAAACTCAGCAACAGGCCTTCCAAGCGAGAATTGGAGGAAAAGAACATCCTCCCTATGCAGACTGATGAGGAGAGACTTGAACTTAGGCAGCAGATTGGAACAAAGTTAACAAGGTAGGAGATTGATGTTTTTCTAGCTCTTGCTTTTGGAAACATGTGGTGGGACACACCTTTTTTCTATATTCTGCAAACATCTGAGATCTGTTTGTTCACAATATGTAAGAGGAAAAGCCGTGGGAAAAAAGAAAAATGCTGTAAGAATTGAAGCTGCTGTAACATTCCATACAGAGATTTCATTTTCCAGGTGTATAGTACAGGATCTTTGGTTATATAAGTACATGCATGAACTACATGGGTGTGGTTGTTTTCAATGCACTGCTGGGATAAGTTCATCTTTGATAACATTTTGGATTGTAGCTGTAGGTGCCATCTGATAATCTGTTATTTTGACCAAGGGACAGAGGCATAACTTGCTCAGCTGACTGAGTCGCCATTGAGTAGGCAAGTCTTCTTCTCATCCAAAATACTTTCATCCTTCAGTATTTTTTGTTGTGTCAGGCTTGAACAGATTTACTTTCGTACACTCTTTCTTCTTTATAACAGCTTTTATTCACCAGCTGTTCTGTTTTTCTGTATTGTATGGAACATAGAGGGGTACCCATTAATGAAACATTTCCATCAAGGATTAGTAAAGCAAGGCCAGGTAGGAATGTCTGTGAACTTCCTGTGCTCTGGCCATAATTTCTGCAGTTGATCTAACGCTGTTATGTTATCAGCTCGGTTGTATGTAGAGCCAGTGAGTGCTATTGGTTGTATGTAGAGGCAGTGAGTGCTATTGGTTGCCTTCTGGTTTAACCAAGAAATCCACAAGGAGGACCAGCCAGTTTTCTGTTGCCTTTTTTTTCTTTTTTTCTGTTCTTTTTTTTTATTGGGTGGAGGAGCATTGGTTTTATTGCAGGGATGCAGGACTCATTTATCCATTCTTTGGAGTAAACTAACCGCATTGTTCCAGTCCATCTTTGAAAGTCTTTCTTTGTGCTGAATCACACTTAGCTTTCTCCAAAACCTGTCTTAACTCTTCAGTATTTTTGTGAAGGGCTACAGCAGTGGTGACCAAAGATGGTGCTGCACTGTTGATGGGCACCAAAATTGTTCAATCCGGTCTTTGTTCAGCTTAATACCTTGTTAAATGAATGTGAAGCTGATGGTCCAAAAGAGCAGTACAGGATAACAAGATCCCAGTCTTGTTCTTACGTAATTAATTTTGAACCCTTTGAGGTGTGTGAGGAGTTGAAATTTTTATCTTTAGTGAATCTTGAGCTGCATCACTTGACCCTACAATGACATTAAACAGCATTTTTTCTGTGCTGCCCATTTGCCTAGTGTATGGCAGCTGCTGAGGTACAGCCTGAACCTCTGATTGACCACCTGAGGTGAGCACTGAGTCAGCCACAGGAGCACAGGTGAAGGCAATTCAGCTGTGTGCCGGAAGGGGGGGAGCCTGGCTGCAGCTCTCCTAGACCTATTGAAGAGCTGGCTGCCAGTGGGGAAGGGTCTCTGCTGGAGATCTGCTCTGCTGGAGTTTTGTGAGTGAGCCCAGGATAGGCATAAGCCTTCTATTTGCTCTCTTTTGTTTTCACAGTCTGCTTTGCCTAACTCTCTTGTGTATTTTGTGATTATAACATCCTAATATTCTTTGATTATGCACCTAGATTATCTGTGTTTCTTAAAAGTTTTACTGCTCTGTCTAATGAAGGTAAATAATGTAACTTGCAAATGTCAATTATAGCTCACTGTGCTCCAGGTGATTTTTTTATTATAAATATTTGATCTCTTATGTCTCCAAAGCATGCTTTTTTTGACATGAAGTGTGTTTCTTCAGCATGTGTATTTTTAACACGGGGAAGCTTACTTTGGCAATACCCAGAACCCTTCCTGTGTAAGCCACCTATTCTCACAATGTCACTGGTTTTTTCCCCAAGTGCATTTGTATTAATATCTGTGCTTGTTCAGAGTTTGAGGTATAGTGCTTGAGTTTGTCTTGTAGCATGACTTAGAAATCACATGTGCTTCCAATAATTAAAACTGTGTATATACAAACAAAAAATAGCTGAGCTATTGCTGGTTCATTCTCATTTGTTACCTGTGTAATATCACTGAAATTGGTAGAATTCCACTAACCTTATCTGGAAAAACATACTTTTCACTCTGACCTTTTAATGACAAGTGTTTACCATTCAGTATCTCATCTTTTTGAGTAATCAAGAAATATAAGGAGAAAACCGCTTTCCTCATCTCTAATATGCAGAAAAACACAGATGTCTAGCATCAAAAAGAAGGGTACGTGTCTTAACAGTGCCTTATATCTAAATGTAATGTATCAATGTATACAGGCTGGCAAATATGAGATTGAAATAGAGGGAATATTTCAATTTGGGCAATATTTCTTTGTGTCCAGACTTCATTACTCCATCTGTCTTTTGCCATTGCTTAGTAATTGTCCCACAGTGATGCAAATGCCAAGCAAAATTAAAGTGGTGAAGCATTTATAGTCTTTAGAGAAGATGTGAGATGCAGAATATAATTGCAGATGGCAATTTTGGATTTCAGAGGAATTTGTGCTATTCTACCAATGGTCCTCTGTAGTTTAAAATAACCAGCCAATGAAATTACATATGCTACTTACAGAAGTAGAAAAGGCAAAATAAAAACTTCAGCAAATAGTTATTGTTGTCTGTAATGGATCAAATAATTTTCAGCAAGAGGCTGATTAGGACACTTCAGTATTTATGCATAATTCCTCACAGTATTTAGTTTAGAAGAGCTCATTAGCTGTACCATTTGGCAAATCAAAATTTAGTACTATAAAGAGAATGTTATTTTAAAAGGAGCTTACAGACTGGCATATTGAGAGATCGACCATTGGCATACTGCATTGGACCAAAATCATCCCAAGTATAGTCCAGCCTTGTTAGAGTTGCACCAAGAACCCACTTGGCTCAGAGCTTTTTTGATCATATCTTATTTAAAAGTAGCAGTAGCTGCAGAAAACATTTGTGGTTTTATTATTGCATCTGCCAGCTGGTAGGGAGACTCCTGAACTGGCTTAACCATGTAGCTGTTTCCCAAGTTAGCAGAATAGTGTCCTGGCAAATATTGGACCAGTTGCAAGGATGAGGCTGCAGAGGCTGTATCTTAGAGCAGAATATGGCCCACTACACATCTGAGTATTAGCTTAGTTATGAGACAGATTTGGACTGTTGTAGCCTACTAGACTGATGCTTCACTTGTGGCGCAGAGTCCAGCTGGAGGTCTGTAATTAGTGGTGTTCTCCAGGGATCTGTGCTGGATCCAGTCTTGTTCTGTATCTTCATCAGTAACCTGGATGCTGATGGTACAAAGCTGGGAGGAGTGGCTGACACACCAGAAGGCTGTGCTGCCATTCAGCAAGACCTGGACAGACTGAAGAACTGGGCAGAGTGTACTGATGAAATTTGGCAGGAGCAAGTGTAGGCTTCTGAGGAGGAATAACCACGTACATCAATACATGTTAGAGACTGACCTCCTGGAGAGCAGCTCTGCAGAGAAAGACCTGGCTGTCCTGATGGGTAACAGGTTGGCTATGAGCCAGCAGTGTGCCCCTGTGGCCAAGAAGGCCAATGGCATCCGGGGGTGCATTAAAGAGTGTGGCCAGCAGGTCGAGGGAGGTGATTCTCCTCTTCTGCACTGCCATGACAAGCCTCTGGAGAACTGTGTCCAGTTCTGGTTCCCCTGCTCAGAAAGGACAGGCACCTCCTAGAAAGAGTAGGGCAGACAAAGATGATCAGTGGCCTGGGGCATCTCCTGTAGGAGGAAAGGCTGGGAGACGTGGGACTCCTCAGTAGAAGAGAAGGCTGAGAAGAGATCTCGTAACTGTTATAAGTATCTGAAGTGCAAGAGTCAAGTTGGTGGGGTGCAGTGGTGTGCAGCAATAGAACAAGAGGCAACAGGCAGAAACTGTAACATGGGAAGTTCTGTACTAACACAAGGAAGAAGCTGTTTACTGTCAGAGTGACAGAGCATGGGGCAGGCTGCCCAGAGAGCTTGTGGAGTCTTTCTCTGGAGATATTCAAGACCCATCTGGACACCTAACTGTGTGACCTACTGTAGGGAACCTGTGTTAGCAGGGGGCTGGTCTTGATGGTCTTTAAAGGTCTCTTCCAACCCCTACAGTTCTGTGATTCTATGACTCATGTGATTGCTTCACTGATGTATATCCTGTTCCAAGGCTCAGCAAAGGCAGGCCCAAGCAAAAACTGATCTTATTGCAAAACGTGCCTGTGCCACAGACTGTTTTCTGGCAATCCTTATTCAACAATCGCAGCAACTAATTAGAAGACCATCTCTTCTAAACAACCAGAATGGATTCCTCCGAAATGTGACACTTAACTATGCAACCAGAAGCAAAAATAGTGAATTAAGATGCAGAACCACGTGACTTGGGGATAGGAAGCAAATGCTAGAGACCATGTTCTTGGCTGTTAAAAACCCTTATAGTTCCATTAACTTCTATTCTGAAATGCAGACCATCTGCACAAATAAATCTTTAAGTGGGTATAGTTTTATTTTTGCTCTGCCTGCTGAGGTTCTCCCAGTCTCCTCCTCCATTTCATCCCTCTGGTGCTTGCATATCTTCACAAGCTACACAAGAAGTGCATGTAAGCGGCCTTAAGCTAGAAAGAAAAATAGAAGGTAAAACAAGGCCCAGAATACTAGCAAGCAGAGGGAGAAGTCAGATTTCTGCCTTCTGACTGTCATTCTGGCTGTCTAACATTCAGAGAACCACTGGTTCCCCAGTCAGGTTAGAGCAGGATGGAGAGACTGAACTTTGCTTTCAGTGGAAATCAGTGAGAGGACTGATGTATTTCTGGGCTATGACTGCAAAATCAGGATACAGATATGAACTGGAACTGATCTTGGAGGCATTCTTGGTACAGTGACAAAGACATGGCCTGTCGGGAGCCTCTGGCAAGGAGGAGGTCCAGCAGTGATAGGCAGAGCACAGCAATGCTGCATGTCTCCAGCAATTGTGTGGTTATCCCCTTCCACCAAGACAAGTGTTCCAGTGCCAGTCC